TCAATCAGCTATGCACCCCTTGGTCTCCCAAAGGCTGATGACTAAATTTTCAATTGGGCCCTTATTACAACTTAAAACAAAATCAAACTAAAGCCCATTAATTGATTAATCCAAAATACAATTTGGTCAACCAATAATACTTGTTGAAGAGCTTCCTTTGTTTCCCTTGCTCTAGCCCTTATCATAGGTCATGTTCACATCACCTTCCTTATGGAGATTTTGTTGGCGCATCATTTCCAACATTTGAGCCATTTGCTCTTTCAGCGTATTAAGCTCAGTGGCGAGCTTTCGATTTTGCTCCTCTAGCTGTTCCATCTTTTTAGCTTTCTGAGCACGAGTGAGGATGGGCGGAAGACCAGCCACTTTCTAAATGATTTTAAGATTTTTATTATTATAGCTTTTTATTATGAATGATCAGTGTGGAATAGATATGCCTCAGACAATAACTTTGGTATCTTCTCAAAAGCCTATGTTTTAAGGGTACCATACCCGCCTTAGTGTGTTAACTTCCTTTTTTTTTAAAAGGTTGCCAACATACCTTAGCGCACTTATCTCTTCTAGGAAGGTGATAAACGCACTTGGGCCTCTTTCGTTATTGTCTAAGGATATCTAATGCATCCTAGAATGAATGTGTTTATGCATGCACTAAAAAAATATTTTTTTATGACATCAGAAATTGAAAGTGGAATAACTTTTGACTGGATTGTCCGATTTGGACGCACAACATGTCAAAACGAAGAGAAAAGGGTGAAGAACCAAGCTGCAAATTCTCGAAGGGGATTTGGTCCAGTAATTTTCCCAATAAACGCTCCTAAGACCTATTTTTCTATTATGACCATGATGATGGGCTCCTCTTTTATTCATCTTTTGGTTTTAGCCCTATCTTTTTCCTAGACCGCCTTTTACGGGTTTTCGATCTAGCGGGCTGCCTTAATTTTTGCCTAGAATATCTTAGGAGGCTTTTGCCTTATCTTTTGCCTAGACCGTTCTTTTGGGGTTTTCGATCTAGCAGGCTACCCTGATTTTTACCTAAGAATATCCTAGCAGGCATTTATTATTTTCTTATTTTTTATGCTTCATCTTTTTTAGATGCATGCTTGATCTTTGATTAAAGGTCTTTGTGCATATTTATGATTTATCAATAAAGATGCATTTCCATAATATTTGATCAAGAGAAAGGAAATGAAAGAGAATTTTATTGATAAATGAGCAAAAGTTTATTTCTTTTATAGAAGGATTTCAAGGGTATTTAGAAGAATGGGTGGTCAGGGTTGGCCATACTGAATAAGCTTAAATAGTCATGTCTATGATATCTGCCCCCCTAGTTCTCCTAATTGCTTCAGTTGAGATGCTTGAGCTCAGAGTGAGGACTATGCAGACTGCTTGCTTATGGAAGAATGTTACCTTAGCCGCCTTTCGGTTTTCGACTGAGGTAACCATTGCTCTTAGTTTTTATTATTATTTTTTTTTACCTCTACTTTTTGCCTAGGACGTGTCCTAGCAAGGAATATGGACCCTATCTTTTGCCTAGGAATGTCCTTTGCGGATTTTCATTCTTGACGGGTCTTGAGCAATGTCTTCAAGCATAATACTTCTTCACCGTATCGGAGTTGATTAGGTATCGAAGTTCTTTTCCATTCATATCGGCAAGGATAACAGCTCCTCTTGAGAAAGCTCGTTTGACCACAAAGGGTCCTTCATAGTTTGTTGCCCATTTTCCAATTTTATTCTTCTGGGCCAGAAGCACATTATTTACCATTAAATTCCTCTTATGGTAAATATGAGGGTTGACTTTTTCGTAAGCCCTTTTTATATAGTATTCAGCCGTTTTTCTTCAATAAGGTTTAGCTGGTCATATTGGATTTGAACCCATTCAGCTTCTATTAATTTTGCTTCCATCATCCTATGCTTTTGTTAACATGATTAGCTGTACCGATTTGTCGTCTCGGATCTTTGCTATAACTGAAGAGTAATCATTTTGAATGTAGAGCAACTGCCATATCAATACCCCTCTTCCTTTCCTTAGGGATTTGAATCCTCCTATTGATCACTATATTTCCACATTTCCCAGTCAATTACTTGAATGCTTTATGGTGAATGGTCAAGAGAAGAGAAAGAAAGGGATTTATTGCAAAGGCTTGTGTTTTAGTGAGATTTTTTATGAAATAATAGTTTCTGTAAGAATGGCTAGCCAAGGTTGGTCGATGTTTAGGCTAGTTGAAACAAACGTTTTGTTTTAATGAGGTGGCGTCTTCAACTGATTACTTTATGGCGCCTATTTGTGACTGATTAACTTTCCTAGTCCTCCCTTTTGGGTTTTCAGCCTAGGATTTTGCCCTTTTATCTTTTTGTCTTGGCCTTTGACCTTGACGGGCTTCTTTTAATAATAATTTCTTTTCTCAAAACATTATCGAAACACGATTTTCTTATTCGTGTCTTTGGCTAATCAATCATATTAACTTTGGCTTAATTTTGTCTATGGCGTTTTGATTATTTTAACATATTTTGGAACAAAATGTTTGACTAAACATGGTTATTTATGGGGTATAGATATGATTAGCGAGAAGAGAAGCAGATTTATAGTAAGAATAGCATTCTTTTATAATTCAAAGGGAAATGCGTGTCCTAAAGATACTCGGGGATCGGCCACACCCCGAGGAGTGATCTCTTATAGTCATTGGGTTTACATCCCTTAGAATTGGAAGAAGGACATCTAATGACTAACGCTACCCTTGATGCTAACATCCCTCCTTTTTGGAAGACCGTCTTTAAGGTATGGAGGGGAGACTTCTCTTTTCTTTGTACGACTTGATCTTTTGTAGGGTCGTACTTAAAAGTATTATCCTTAAAATCTGGTGGCTCTCTTATTCCTTGAGCATCCTTTCCAAGCCCTTGTCCTGGGCTATATCCATATCTCTTCATTATATGGGCCACTTTCATATTGCTAGGAAGTCTTTCCATATTGGCAAATGTCTTCTTTAGCCGCATCCATTTAAGGTATGGTGGACGGCTCGCTGATTCGAATGTAGTCTTTAGCTTGCACCATGATCAACCTGTTGCCTACCATGAATTTGATTTTTCGGTGGATCGTTGAAGAAACTACCCTAGCATCGTGAATCCAAGTTCTACTTAATCTTCCCCTTGAATTCTTTTTTTTTCTTCGGTTTCTTTATTTTTCCTTGTTTTTAGGAGCATTATCTTATAGCTCCTTGGGTGAATAAATTCTTTTGCTTCTCGTCCTGCCCCCAATGCCGGCTATATTGGAGATATCTTCATTGACGGACAATTCTTCTATGCATATCCACAGTACAGCTTTATCCGATGTATAAGGGAAAGGATGAGGCATGAATAAGCGCAAAGGTGTTATTGCCCCTTCCTTGACATTATCAATTTTGGTACCGATATTTCTTTCTTATTATCTCTTTTTCCCAAATCGATGGCCTAAGTTTTTTATTATGGGGCTGTATCAATTGAGCTTATTTTTCCAACAGTCTTTGCATGTCCGGGGAAATGGTCCCCTCCTCACTGTCTGACTCAATCCATTCACCTTTGGCTTTCAGATCCCGCAAAGAGTTTTCAACCACAGACATGACTGTTTATATGGTCCTTATTTGGGTTTAGATTTTATTTAATTATTTTGGAATGAGAGAGAAAAGAATGAGAAGAATATGAATATTATGAAAAATGCCTCGTTGTATAGATGAAAAGAGAAATATATACAGAGCCTCTTTTATCAAAAGATCTTGCGGCCATGGGCAGAGATCGCGAGAGATGCATCAGAAGCTTTTTTTGTTATTTTTTATTTATTTATACTTTTTATTTATTTATATTTTATTTTTAATGAGGAGCCCTAATCAGCTGGTCTTCCCCGTCATTCCGATTGAGACAGAGGCGTGTCGTCCACCTAAGGGTCGGGAGCATTGAAAGTAATTCGCCCGGCATTCAATAATTCTTGAACCCTATATTTTAAGTTGATGCAATCTTCCACGGAATGCCCAGGAGTGCCTAAGTGGTAATCACATTTTTCGTTGAGCTTGTACCAACCGGGGTAAGGTGGATCCTTCTTCTTTAGAGGGATGCGTGTTAGGAGCTTGGCCTCTAACAGCTTTGGAAGCAAACTCCCATAAGAGGTTGGAATGGGGTGAATTTCTTCTCTTGTCTGTGTGACTGCCCAACTGGTGGCGAAGAGGGAGAAGGAGTAGCAAGGTTGATGGCATTTACGCTCCCCTCTTTCTTCTTGCCAAAGGACTTCTTGAATGATGCGTGGGATTTCTTGGGAGGGAATCGAGTATTTTCGGCAAGGCGTACATCGATTACCTTCTTTACATCAAAGTTGTATCCCTCTAATGCCCTTAATTTCTCTTCTAGGGCAAAAATTTGTTTTTTGGAAACCTCATTGTGGAGGCATTGTCGGTGCATTAGTTCCATTAAATACGCCATCTGCTCTTTAATGTAGTTAAGCTCAATGGTGAGCCTATGGTTTTGTTCCTCTAACCGCTCCTTTAATTGCGGCACCTGCTCCTTTATGGCATTAAGCTCAGCGGTGAGCATACGGTTCTGCTCCTCTAATTGCTCCATCCTCTTAGCTTTTGCGCGTGAGTGGGGATAGCAACAAGACCAGCCACTTTCTAAATGATTTAAAGATTTTTATTATTGTTTTTTTTATTATTAATGATCAGTGTGGGATAGATATGCCTTAGACCATAGCTTTGGTGTTTTCCTAAAAGCTTATGCTTTAGGGAGTACCATACCTACCTTGGTGTGATGGTTCCCTTTTTTCAAAAGGTTACCATCATACCTTAGCACACTTATCTCTTCTAGGAAGGTTATAAACGCACTTGGGTCTCTTTCACTATTATCGAATGATATCTAATGCATCCTATAATGAATGTGTTTATGCATGCACTACAAAAATACTTTTTATGACGGCAGATATTGAAAGTGGGATAACTTTTGACTGGGATGTCGGATTTGGATGTACAACATATCAAAACGAAGAGAAAAACGTGAAGAACCAGGTTGCAAATTCTCGAAGGGGATTTGGCCTAGTAATTTTCCCAAAAAACCTCCTAAGACCCATTTTTTAGAGGTTTATTAAAATGATGTGTATGCATGCTGCATTTATTTTTTCTCTTTGTTTTTCTTATGAAATGATGTTGTATGAATGATACGACTTTGCCAAGAATCTTTTTATTGTAAGAGGTATTTTTATTGTTTTAAATTGTTTTTCATATTTTTTTATAACCCTTTATCTCTTCTGTTGGTCAACGTGGCTACTTAGCTTACAAAGAACCTGAAACTAGGCTAGCTTAAATGAAGACTGTCTGAGATAAAGTTGATTTATTCTTATCTTTTTTTACAGTTTTCTAGAATTTTTACTATTTTGTCTGTTGTATGATTACCCTATGCCAATGCATCAATACAAATGTAACAAACAAATGCACACACAATTCACTCATCCACAAGCAGATCCATGCTTATTTAATCACGAGGTAGGATTTTCCTGCAGAAACATGCTTGGTTAAGGAGGTTCTAATTTTTTCTCACCAAGGCCAAAGGTCCCCAAGGTGCCCCCATTATAGGGACCTCTCAATCTCTCAGTCTTCGGATCATGTACGGAACTCCGTGTTGACATCCTTGGACCAAAAGAAGAGAGTTATCACCTTGAGTTGGTGGTTTTCTGACAACGGTTGTAGCCCCGTGTGCCAACAAGCCAGTCGTATCTGCCACCCACTCCCTATAGGTATTCACTCTTGCCCTCGGGTATAGAGGGACTGTTGTGTGCAAGGGTTTTTGTGTATAGTTTGTATTTCACACAATCAATTTGCAGAAAATAATCATACAGCAGTTATTAAAGCCATACAATAAAACATACAAAGAAGGGTAAAGGCGTAATTTCAAATCTTTACTTAGTTTGAGTTTATCCGTCATGAAATGGGATCAACTCTCTAGCTTCCCCAGCGGAGTCGTTATCTGTCGCTGCCGTCCATTCCGACACCTAAGGACATCTCGAACGTTTATGCGAGCGGTCATGAAAAGATGGTTTAGACT